GAAATGGTGAAGTAAAAGGGCTGAACAGAAGATTTCAAAGGGTGGCTTGAGAAGATAAAAGTAAAGTATTATAAGGAAATGTGCAAATACTTGGAGTTAGAAAACCAAAAGGGAAGAACATGCTCGGCATTTCTCAAGCTGAAAAAACAGAAGAAAAAAATTCAAGCCTCAAGCTGCAATACTGAAAGAGTCTACGGGCAAAACATTTAATGACGCAGGAAGCATCAAAAGAAGATGGAAAGAATACAGAGTCACTGTACCAAAAAGAACTGGTCTACATTCAGTCACTTCAAGGGGTAGCATTATGATCAAGAACCGATGGTATTTAAGGGAGAAGTCCAAGCTGCACTGAAGGCACTGGAGAAAAACAAGCCTCCACGAATTGGCAAAATACCAACTGAAATGTTTCAACGAACGAATGCAACGCTGGAAATGCTCACTCATCTATGCCAAGAAATTTGGAAGACAGCTACCTGGCCAACTGACTGGAAGAGATCTATATATGTGCCCATTCCAAAGAAAGGTGATCCAACAGAATGTAAAATTATCTAACAAAATCATCAATATCATATGCAAGTAAAATTATGCTGAGATCATTCAAAAACGGTTGCAGCAGTACATCAACAGGGAACCGGCAGAAATTCAAGCTGGATTCAGAAGAGGAAGTGAAACGAAGGATATCACTGCTGATACCAGATGGATCTTGGCTGAAAGCAGAGAATACCAGAAAGATATTTACCTGTGTTTTACTGACTATGCAAAGACATTCAACTGCGTGGATCGTAACAAATTATGAATAACACTGTGAGGAACATGAGTTCCAGAACACTTAATTGTGCTCATGTGGAACCTGTACATAGACCAAGAGGAAGTCGTTCTAACAGAACAAGGGGGTACTGTATGGTTTAAAAATCAGGAATGGTGTGCGTCAGGGTTGTATCCTTTCACCATACCTACTCAATCTGTATGCTGAGCAAATAATCTGAGAAGCTGGATTGTATAAAAATGAGTCACTAGGATTGGAGGAAGACTCATTAATAACCTGTGATATGCAGATGACACAACCTTGCTTGCTGAAAGCAAGGAGGACTTGAAGCCCTTACTGATGGAAATCAAAGACTATAGCCTTTTTTTATGGCAAAAGTTTGATTTTTTTATTTTTATGGTGCTTTAGATGAAGGTTTACAGAACAGATTCTCATTAAACAGTACACATGTCATTTTATGACAATGGTTAACAACCCCATGACATGTCAACACTGTCCCTTCTCAACCTTGGGTTCCCTATTACCAGCTTTCCTGTCCCCTCTTGCCTTCTAGTCCTTGTCCCTGGACTGTTATGCCCCATCAGTCTCATTTTGTTTTATGGGGCTGTCTAATCTTTGGCTGAATGGTAAACCTCGGGAGTGACTTCAATGAGCTAAAAGGGTGTCCGGGGGCCATACTCTCAGGGTTTCTCCAGTCTTTGTCAGGCCAGTTTTTTGTGAGTTGTAGAAACTACATTTTTCTCCAGTTCTGTCTGGGACCCTCTGTTGTGATCCTGGTCAGAGCAGTTGGTGGTAGCTGGGCACCATCTAGTTGTACTGGACTCAGAACTACAGCCTTCTGTATGGATTACACCTTACCATTAAAAAAAAAAAAAAATCCTCACAACTGGACCAAGAAACAGTATCATGATAAATGGAGAAAAGATTGAAGATGTCAACAATTTCATTTCACTTTGACTCACAATCAACACTCACTGAAGCAGCAGTCAAGAACTCAAATGACACACTGCATTGGGCAAATCTGCTGCAAAAGACCTCTTTAAATTGTTAAAAAACAAAGATGTCACCTTGAAGCCTAAGGTGCACCTGACCTAGGACATGGTGTTTTCAACTGTCTCATATGCATGTGAAAGCTGGGCAATGAATAAGGAAGTCTGAAGAACCTACGCCTTTGAATTATAGTGTTGGCAAAGAATACTGAATACATCATGGACTGCCAAAAGAAAGAACAAATCTGTCTTGGAAGAAGTACAGCCGGAATGTTCCTTAGAAGCAAGGATGGCAAGATCTTGTCTCACATACTTTGGACATGTTATCAGGAGAGGCCAGTCCCTAGAGAAGGACATCAGGCTTGGTAAAGTAGAGGGTCTGTAAAAAGAGGAAGACCCTCAATGAGATGGATTATCACAGTGGCTGCAGCAATGGGCTCAAGCTTAGCAACAATTGTGAGGATGGCGCAGGACCGGGCAATCTTTTGTTCTGTTGTGCATGGGGTCGCTACGAGTCGGAACCAACTTCAGGGCACCTAACAACAACATGCCAATAAATCTGACTACGTAAATGAAATTAACAAATTACCAAAACTGACTTAAGAAGGAACAGAAGATATATATAGCTCTATATCTACTGAAGAAATTGGATTTGTAATTTAAAACCTTCCACTAAAGAACTTTATAGGCTCAGATGGCTTCACTACTGAATTCTATTAAACGTTCAAGGAAGAATTATTACTAATGTTCGACAAACTATTTCAGAAAATAGAGTTGAGGGGAACACATCTCTGGCTCCTTTTACAAAGCCTGCGCTACCCTAATAATCAAAAACAAAATCATTACAAGAAAAGAAAACTACAAACAACTCCCCCACCACCACAGCCACCAAAAAAAAAAAACAGACAAAGGATTTGAACAGACGTTTCACAAAAGATATATGAATGGCCAATAAGCACATGAAAAGATGTTCAATATCATGAGTCATCAGGGAAATATAAATTAAAACTAAAACGAGGTATCTCTATACACCCAGTGAAATGCATGGCTAAAATGAAGTAGACTGACAACACCAAGGTAGGCAAGGATATAGAGCAACTGAAACTATCATACTTGCTGGGGGGAACGGGGTTGAAGTGGGAATGTGGACAAACCCTTTGGAAAACAGTTCTCAGTTTCTTATAAATGTAACATGCATTTACCATAGGACCCAGAAATTCTATTTCCTATCATATGAACCAGTTATTTACCCAAGAGAAATGAAAACATAAGTCCACACAATGACTTGTATATAAAACGTTTATAGATGCTTTATTCTTAATAGCCTTAATCTAGAAACAATCAAAATGCTGATCAACAAGAAAATGGATAAACAAATTCTGGTATTTTCATATAATAGCAATAAAAAGGAACAAATTACTGATACATTAAAGAACATGGAAGAATCCCAAAACCTACGCTCAGCAAAAGAATCCATATGTAAAACGAATTCCATTTATATGAAATTCTAGAAAAGACAAAAACTAATCTATAATGACACAAAACAGAACATAGTTGCCTGAAGCCCGTGGTGGGTGATAATTCACTGCAAAGCAGATGAAGAAATTTTTTGATGTGATGGAAAAGTTCTAATTTTTGACTAGCGTGGTGGTTACACAAGCGTATACATCTGTCAAAACTGAAACTGTACATGAATTACAGGTGCATTTTTTACATGTGAAATAAAGTTGATTTATTTAACGAAGTGGTACTGGCACATGTACAGAGAAAAAGTTATACCTCTACCTCACATATTCACAAAAATAAACTGGACTAAAAATTAACATAAAAAGTAAAACCACAATCACATTAAAAGGGAAATAAGAGGGTATGTTTATGATCCTGTGGAAGGAAAAGCCTTCTTTATCAAGACATTAAAAAGCAAAAGCTATAAAGAAAGAGAAAGATACATTTTATTCATTAATATGAAAACCTTCTAGACCATAAAACTTAAAAGATTCTAACTGGGAGATATATCTGCATTATGTATAAGAAATTATTAGAATCCAGAATTAAAACAAAACATATAAAGCAAAAAAAATCCAAAATACTCCTAAAACTCAATAGGTAAAAGAAGCAACCCAAAGGCAAAGGGAATAGGTAAATTTATTTACATAGAAATCAAATGGATGACAGATGTTTAAAGATGAACCTCACTAGTAATACAGGAGATGGAATGCCATTTTTCACTCAAAAGATTGGCGCTTAGTAGTATCAAATGGTGGTTTGAGTGTTAGGGATAACAGGTAATCCAAGTGGGAGAATCAACTGGTACAACCACTACAGAGGGAATTTCAGAGTATACACTGAACAAATACTCTCAACACTCAGCAATTCTACTTCTTGCTTTTTACCCTAAGGAAGGGAAACTCGTACGTACACAAGAAGGCACGAACAAAGATATTCACTACAGCAATGTTTACAGAAATGAAAAACTGTGACCCACCTACATGCCAAAGGCAAATCGCTAAGTAAACTAGAATACATTTACACTACAGATGCAGTTAAATGAAAACAAGATACTTGTATATGTAGTAACATAAAAAGCTCTCTAAAACATATTGCTGACTAAAGATACACAATATATTTATGTAGAAACAAAATAAATGAGAAGATGCTCACATGCAAATGATCACATATATATGTATGTACATGCATACAAAAAGACCTGCAAAAATACATATGAAATTAGCTCTACTCAGGGGGCAGAACTGGAGGAAGGCTATTATTAAAAGTCCTGGTCAAACTTTCACAAGGAGAACGTATTCTTATGTTATTTGTATAAGTGTAAGTCAATGAAAAATAATATGCTGATTTTAGATGAACTTACAACTGTTGTCTGAGGAAACTCTTTCCACAGGACATAAGTATGGTTGCTATGTCCTTGGAAAGGGATTCTTCAGCCAACGGATTGAGAAGCCCTTACCACCTTCAGCTTAGAATACCATAATAGTTTACAACAAACATCAATGCCTTTTAAGTCTCTCCCCCATATTGCCTTCAAATCTTTCTCAATTACCTCTCAATCCAAGTCACTCTCAATCCATTACCTGTTTTATTTGCAATTATTACTATATGAAATTACCTATTTACTTATTTATTGTCCACAACATGGGAATGGCAAGACAGAATTTTGAATTCATATGATTTTAGTCAAGCCATTTCGAGTTTTCTTATAGTATCAAAGACACATTTTATTCACTTACCTTAGTTGGAAAAGGAAATTTGGAAGGTTCTGTTTTGCATGGTGTATGAATAGCCGTTAGAGGGGGAGGCCATGAATGCGTCATCTCCTGAAATGTAATTATTACAATTTGTTTTCAACCAGGTCAAGGATAAAAATTATACAGCTAAAAACCAGATTTGTATTTATAAATACTGGTTTCATGATTGCGCCTCCAAAACAATGCATATTTAATCAATAAGTATTAATTAAGCACAACTGTGTGCAAAGCACTATGGGGTAATAGAAGATAAATAATATACACCCCCTGACTTCAAGGAGCTTACAGTTAGGATGATGAGACCTGTGAATAGTTACAGAAGTCAGCTCATACTCAAATACAAGGCACCTAGTAAAGCACTACTGAGGAAGAGCTTGCTGTGGAAGTGGGAGGAAAGGGATAATGACAAAGAGAGCAGCTAACATCTATCTTGTACCTTTAAAAGGCCAGACACTGAGCTAAGTGCTTTAGATGTCTGTCAGTCATTTAATACTCACAATGACATTATTAGGTAGATACCATTATTATCCTCTCTATACAGGATGAAACTGAAGCACAAAAGTTATTTATTCACGGTCACATACTTAAGTCAGTGAGGGACACAAAATTTCATCCCAGAAAGTCTGGCTATAGAGCCCATTCACTGACAGGAAAATTTGGCTAGGTGAAGGAAATTAGAGGAGAGATTTCAAAAGCATAGAAGGAGGAAGACAGACAGGCAAGGCTCTAAGTCTAGTTTCATTCAATGCCTTCTGTCTAATCACATACCAAATATGTCCAAGTGGGAGTTTGGATAAGTGGAAAAGACCACAATGTGTATGCTAGAGCAGCAGGCGAGTGAGAGAGGTATGACTTAGAATAAGGAGGGAGTGCTTTATTTCTGGCATTTAGTTCAAAGTAAGCCATCCGGTAGACTTAGAAAATACAATAAATTAAAAGTGGTACTAACTTCTAGGAATTTACCCTACAGTTACACTCACATACTTATGTAAGGATACATGTTCAAGGGGCTCACTTAAACAATGCAAACAACCTAAGTCTCCAACAACACAGGACCAAATAAATAAACTGTCAGCCAGCCATATAATGGAACACCAAACAGAGATTAAAATGAGAAATTTTTACTGATATGAAATGATGTCCACAGTATATTTGTTTAACAAACACAAGTGATAGTCTATGTCCTACTAAATGTTTACATAAGAAAAAAATCTCTGGATAGTTAACACTGGCTACCTTGGGGCAATAGAATGATATAAGGGGTAACAGACAAGGGCACTTAATACAGTGTGTACTGCTTGACCCTCTTAAAACAGCCACCAGTATTGTCATTGCTCTCTAACTTCTTATGCTGTATTATTTTTTAATAGCATTTCACTTACTGAAATAATATTATACAGTTGATCTTGCTCTAGAATGTTCACTCAAAGAGTGTAATGCAAGTGCTATCATTCTTATTATCATAGTATCCCCAACGCTTGGCACATAGTAAATGCTCAATTAGTATGCCCTGGATTAATAAATCAATTTCTTTCACAATAAATAGATATTCTTGAGAATTAAATTTCTTTTCTTTTATTCAGTGATGCAGAACTGAAGCTCCTTGAACACCGCACATAGGCAAGTGGAGAGGAAATAAAAACTCATCTACCACAGGTTCTCAGTCATGGCATTTTATACCTTAAAGGTCAAAATACTCTCAAAAGGAAAATCTATTTAATTCTCCAACTATCATCAAATAATTGAGCACTTATTACACCCAAGCCCATGTGCCAAGCCCTGCGCATACAAAATAAATAATTTCAAAGAGATAATGAAATACAAGAAAACCGAAGATTTCTTCCAGATATTAAAATTCCATGCATTTTTGAGGATTCAGGGGAAAAGAAATATTCTACCTTAGACTTTTTATATACATGGCAACTAAAAAATGAATGCCATATGAGATTCAAAGAAAAAACAGAATCTAAAAATAACTGAAAAGAAAGGAGAAATACATCCTAAGAAAGTTTACATTATGGAGGTTTAAAAAAAACAAAGAAGGAAAGTATATGGCTTAGGGAAACCAGTTTGGCCAGAGAGGTCAATCATAGTAGAAGAGGTTAGGACTAGCCTGTGGAAGTATGGAACGTTAAATTTGGATACTATTATTTTTATGGGCTTTAGAGAGACACTGAAAACATCAGAGAAGGAAATTAATTTATGAAGAACAGAGATTTCAGCAAAGACTTTGGTAACAATGCAGAAGACAGATGAGCAGGGAAACTCGAGACAGAGAGGCAGAGTGAGGACTGTATATTCCATTATTCAGGTTCAATGTGGCAGGAATGGAAAAAAAGGAATAGATATTTTCAAGGAATATTTTCCAGGAATTTTCAAAGTCTTAAGTTTTGTGATTAAATGGAACATGGAAGAAGTCAGAAATAATGAGGATTCTACATTTCCAAGCATGGGAAAATGGTAGTACTACTAATAGAAAGAAGTCTGATAAGTATGACTTTAGACATGCGGAGTTTGAAGAAGCAACAGGAAATCCAAATGGAAAACAGCCTAAAAGGCAATTAAGAGACATAAACCAAAACCCAAAAGAGGCCAAGACAGGAGAGGAAGACTGAATAGCTATGTAATAGATAAAGCCATGAAAATGGAGGAAAAGCCAAGTCAAAGAGAAGACAGAGGCTAGAAAAATGCACTCATAGTTAAGTGATAAAAGGACACGAGTTCCAAGAAGGCAAAGAAAAGGCAAGAAAGGTGGATGGAAATTAAAAACAATGAAGCATAATGACAGCCAAGAAGGAAGAACAACGTTTCCAGAAGGAAAAAAATAAAAACTCTTTAAAATACCAGAAAGGGTAAAGAGAATGAGAACTCAAATGAAGCTCCTGAATGTGGGGGAAGACTGTGACCTTAGAAAAACAGGTTCAGCAGAATCATGGAGGTAAAAGAGATTACCGTTGGCTAAAGGAAGCGATCAAAGAGAATACAGTGGAAGCAGCCAGTGCAGGGTAGTCTTTTAACAGTATTAACAGTGAAATGCAACTACAGACACAAAAATTGAGAAGCTTACAAAAAACAAGAAAATACAAGTATTATGTGACTAACAGTTGTATCTTTTCTCAAATGAGCAAAAAGCAGTCACTGCCACTCACTAATTCACTGCACGATACATTTTCTATGTTTTCAATAGAGGAATGCAATTTTTGGTCATGTGTTAATTTAAAATATATTCCATTAAACACTCAAAATGAGCGATATTCAGAGATCTTTTATTGTAGGATTTGACCAGTATGTACAGATAACTTGCAAAGCAAGCTATTTTCAATGTAATGGTCTGACTGGTAACTATTGAGTTCTTTAGCATTTCAAATTATTGAGAAACCTGAGAGACTGCATTTTTATTTAGTTTCTTCTCCTTTTCAAGGCTAGCTGTTAAGACTAGAATATGCATTATTAAAAAGACAAAAACAAAAAACACAGCTCTTTGAAGGTAAATAGTAAACAAACCATGTGAACCAGAACCTAAGTATGAATGTAACCAGGATAAAGTCAATTGATTTTGATGGACATAATCAAGTTACACATATAGGCAATCTGCTGCTTCAAATCCTTTGAGAAGTATAGGGGGCAGGGGAAAAGAATAGTAGAGCATCATAATTAAATAAAAAGGACTGAAACTTTTAAAAAACAGATAACTTACTTTAAGAATTTCATCCACACAGCTCACATCACCAGAAGCAGATGCCTTAAGAAAAAGAGAGAAAAAGAAACACAGATTTAGAGTCATTTATTATTAGATTACCATTTGCTGCACAGATATAGAAATATTATTAAAAGTAAAATAAAATTTAATTATTTATGATTTCACTATTCCAAATCAGAGCACTAATTAGAATCTTTGCACTAATTTCCTTAAAATATAAATTTTAAACACTAAAAAAATTTAATCACCAAACTGTACACGGCTTGAGGGACTTAATTATATTTTTCAAAGGTTTTCAAATTTTTATCTTTCTTATACTTAGATTACAAAAAATTTGTTAAATGTAATTTTGCAGGTAAGCAGCTTACCAAAAAATTTTAAAGTTCACTTATATTCAACATACAGTATGCTACTAAGATACCTCATTTCACATAAATTAACAAACAAAATAAAACCAAATTTATTGAAAGATTACTTTTCTGGAACATGACAAGTATTTTACATATTCTTTCTTAAATCACAGAAGTTAAGTTGCTCATTCTAAGGCACAAACAGAAATTAGAAAGCTGGGGTTTGAAGTCAAGTCTAACTCCAAGGATGACGTTTGAAGAAAGAACAAATTACCACTTTATTCTTTTTTTGAGTAATCAGATGACAAATGCCACTAACAATGAATTTACCTAGGCAGGAAAAACTTCTAAATGTTCTCAGAAAAGCAGTTTACCTATCCCTGATCCCTCCTCTGACCATTCTGAGCCATGATTTTTGGCTATTGATACTACTTTTTAAATTTTTTTAATTACACAAACTACATTAAAAAGATTTCAGCTATTTCACAATGAATGCTCACTTCTCTGATTATTTTGAATATCATGTTTTGGTATACAATTATAATTACCATAAATTTCACACCATCACTATGAATTTGGAGCAGCTGCCTCAACCCTGTAACCAGAGAAAAGGATAGCAGCATCCAAACCATACAACATCATCATCTCCATGGGCCAGAAAGTCTCAACATTTACCACAATTAACCATGGTCCACATCTCATTCAAGAGTCACTATGAGAAGTTAATAGAGAATTTAAGTCTTTTTTTAAACGTTTAAGAAAACAAGGTGCATTATTGGTGTGTTATTCCATCAAATCAAATCTAAGGTACTGATGGATCATGGACCATCCTTTTATTTTATAAGTGACTTGTCATTTTTGAAAACAGCGAATGACAGTCTATTTCCCAAGAGGAGCAGCTATTAGGTCTCTGGATCCACTTGAGAGTCACTCACAAGTCTTTATTTAAGCTCTTACATTCCTTACTATTAAGGCAAAGAAAGAGGCAGTTTAAGTTCAATCATAAATTCATGGTAAACTGCTTCACATGTTCACAAAGTTAAAAGCTCTAAATGTGTGACTTACATCCAGTGGTTGGGAAGGTATTTTCAGCTTGGTGAGATGTGCTTTGCTGCTGGGCTTCAGCTCAGTCATGCTGTTGCCATGGGACTGGCTGCTGTAGTGCTCAGAGGACAGCTTTGGTTCCATGGACTCCTGTCCATCCATGGGCCGCACATAGGCAGTGGGTTTCTGTAACATTGAACTGGACTTTGACATCAACGAAGGGGGGAAAGACTGACTTGAGTGCTGTCCACTTGAAAAAGGTACACGGGAAGGAGAATCCCAGTTTGCATCAGGATCCCGAGGTGATTTGGAACGCTGATGTTCCTTGCTATGGTGATCATTCCCATGAGACCTGGAATGACTTGAGCTTAATGAAGAAACAGCCTGGGGTTTTCCAGGGCTGGAAGAGCGTGATTTGGAGTGTTCTGATCCAAGCTGGCCTTTTTTCCGGCTACTGCTCCCACTACTGCTGTATGAGTCACGGTCATGCCTCTGGCTACTACTGTTGGTGCTGCTACTGCCACCTGCACTGGTCCGTTGACTGCTGTGTCCACTCTGTAGGCCGGAGGACCGTTTCTGAGACTGAGAAGTGCTGGGTGCAGGTCCTACCGGAGTCCATTTGTTACTCTGATGCGAGCTCCCATGTCTCTGTTCAAAGAAATTTGGGTTGGATTTTTCATCTGCTGTTGGTGGTACTGTAGACTTGGGAATTGCAACAAGCTTTGGTATAGTTCTATCCCCTATGAAATCCTTCATTTCATCGTAGTTTCCAAGCATACTCTGAATGCGACTTGATAGCTTGTCTTCTTTGCTAGTCTATAAAAAAAAATAAAATTGTACAATTAGCATAATCAGAAATAAAATGATTATAAACTGACTTTCCAAACTTTAAACAGAAAAGGAGTTTTTTTAAACGGAGGTTTCACCTCACACCTTGAGGCTAACATCTGGAAACAAACTCCAAATATACAACTTCTACAGTGAAAAATATTCAGTTAAAGTGTCTAAAAATAACCATCTAAAATACTCCATAAGACAACTGAGAAATAGATTCCAGGAGGGAAAAATACCCAAATTTCACCAATAAACATACTGGCACAGCAGCAAAGCATTTTGAAAAACAGAAAGGGAAAAAAAAAAAAAAAAATCAAGATTATGACTATGCAATTAAACTGCATGCCAGAAGATTAAACAACACTCATAATTTGGTTGTTTAGGAAAATATTATCTTCCTTGTAATTCAATGTTATGGTTAAAAGCAGAAACAAAAATTTAGTGCAACAAGTTATACTTAACTTTTTTTTTAAAATTCTTTCTGCTACTGTGATTCTTCAGATTAATAAAAGTCCCAAACAACAAATTAAGCATAGAAAACAAACCACTAATACAATTTTAAATCCTGGCTATTAATCCTGACCAATAAATGCTCTGACTTTTGAAGTCAATAGTACACACTTTAAATTTCAAACAATTATTCCAGGGTAATAAAAAGGTTTAAGATGTCTACTAGCTTTAGGACCCTCCTGTTCATATACATGGAAGAAAGAAAAGCTTCCTGGTTACATTAAAAGCAGAATTCAGATTCAATCACCACTATTTATTTTGTGGTTAGAATGAATCAATAACAACTTTTGATTATCTGATAATCTGTGTGATCCCTATTAAACAAGAGAGGTAAAAACACAGCCTTTATAGGCAATATCAAAATCAGAATCAAATCCAATTCATTAGAGTATAATTACAAAATAAATGGCAGTATGATTCAAGATTCTGGACAAAATTCTTGTGTTTTCAATATGCCTTTAATCTGTGTTCTGGATTGAACTGTGTCCCTCAAAAATATTTGTTGTAAATCCTAACCCCTATACCTGTGGTTATAATCTGGGCTTCAAACCCCTGCTGATAATTTGCATTTCTACCCCCAGATATAATGAATCAGAATCTACAGTTTAACAAGATCTCCAGGTGATTCTTATCTATAATAAATTTGAGAACCACTGCTCTGCCAGTGGTTCTCAGAATTGGTTCCTAACCAGCAACATTAGCATTGCCTGGGAACTTGTTAGAAATGCAAATTCTCAGCAGAGGCTAGAACTGGACCAAGCAGGTTTGAAGTCCTGGTTATAATCCCATTTGGGAATGGGTTTTGTGTTATATTAATGAGACAGTATCAGTGCAGGGTGTTATGTAAAAGAGATTAAATACGGTTAGAGAGCAAGCAGAGCTGGGGGTAGATGCCACACCACATGAAGATCACCAAGGAACTAAGGAACAAGGACCTTCCCCCAGAGTCAACAAAGAAAGAGCACCTTCCCCAGGAAGTTCTGAAATCAGACTTCTAGCCTCCCAAACTGTGAAAAAATAAATTTGTTTGTTAAAGACACATACTTATGGTATTTCTGTTACAGCAGGGCTAGATAACTAAGTCTCTAATATAGGTTTTGTGTTATACTCACAAAAATGACCGTGTCAGTACGACTGCCTTTAAATTGGAAAATCCTTAAAAATACTGAATAAATGGCTTTCACAGATTCCATAACTGGCTTCTATAAACACCAAGTGTTACAGGGGTAAAACTTAAGATATACTGTACTTTTAATTATTTCATCACAAAAAAAAATCTAACTCTCAACTTCATATTATAAGCCAACAATGGTCATTGCTGCTGAAATACATAGTATTATTGCTATTATACACAATATAAGCCTTTAAATTGTAAGGAAAACAATTCAAATAAAATCCAAAGCTAAATCAAATATTAGACATGTATGGCCACCAAACCACATTAGAGTCATCACAAGTGGTACCATTCAGTGTTCAATGTAACCCGAAATCAAGTACAACAGCAGTAATAAAAATAGCAATTGGTTCAACTTATTAAACACTTTTGGCAACGTGCTTTAATATAAATTTGATACTGTTAATTAAGCATTAAATACATAAGAAAATCAGAATTTAGCCTATGATAACAGAAAAGAACTGAAGAGACATTTATTGAAACATACTAATAAGAAATAAATAAACCAAACCAAACTTATTGCCGTTGAGTCAATTCCAACCCTACCGGACAGAGTAGAACTGCCCCACACGGTTTCCAAGGAGCAGCTGGTGGATCTGAACTGCCGACCTTTTGGTTAGCAGCTAAGTTCTTAGCCACTGTGCCACCAGGACCTCATACTAATAATAGTCACTGAAATTTAGTAAACTAAGTAACCAAATGGCAAGAAATAAGCAGCAACAAAAGCATCTATGAAATATTCATCACTGATTGGCGTTATACCCAAACAGCACCTAGGAAACAGCAGATAATGCATATTGATTTACAAAAATTTTAATTTAATTCAAGGCTCAGAAAGGTTACAAGCCTGCCCAAGCTTAGTGGTAGATCCGGAATGTAGAGATGACTGCCAATCCAGACAACACTTTTAAAAATTCAGGGTAGCAACAGGAGGGGAAGGAGGGCTTCTAGGGTGCTGGTAATGCTCTATTTCACAAGTGGGTATTGACTGTATGTGTTTTCATGCTGTGAAAATTCTTTGAGCCATAACATTTAATTTGTATACTTTTCTGTATGCATGTTATGCTCCAATGAAAAGTTTACTTCAAGAAAATACTCTATATACAATAACGGAAAAAATGTTAAATCCTTAAATGTTGTAAGAATTCTTTCCTAACAGAAAATTCAAGATCAAAACATTTTTAAAGGAAAAATGTGTTACTGGGGGAAAAACACACAAAGAAGGACAACTTACAACTTTGTATGGCTCAGCAAAGAGAGGAGAGCTAGGTGGGAAGGCGTCCTCGCCCTGCTGAATTTCCTGATTCCGCCTTTCCCGTTCTTTCATACGCAGCACATTCCGGTCTTCACGGTTCATGTTGCTATGAAAAGAAACACAATCTTTACATCACAAAAGGGAAAAGAAAGATTAAATTTTCTGTATGGTTTTTGTCAGTTTAATGCTTCAATCGAAGATTCCCTTTCGACTGCCAAGTAATAACAGGCATCAGTGTTCAAGTTGGGTTTTGGCAATGGTTTAATCAACTAATACAAAGAGTTCTTCCACAAGTATCCAGAGAGGAAACACTAGCCCAGAATATTAGGACCCACCCCCACTGGAACACTTAACCTGATCAATTTTTAATGCCCACTACTAGCTAAAAGTCAGCTAAAACTTGCATGTTCAGAGGGAAAGTAGTACTTAAACCCAAATCCTAGTATGTCCTATAAGCCTTTCTTGGCTTCCTCTTCAATAATCTAACTATTCTTTGCCATTAGAGGCAATACAACCCATTCCCACCTACCACCCCCTCCCCCCGGGGGTCCAGTGGCTTTTCTCTACTTTGCATCTACCTTATCTTGATTTCTTTTTGTCCCAAACACAGCTTCCTTGGTGTCCATCCTTATGGCAGTTTGACCTCAGCTTTGCTGTTGTTCTAGATTCCCTAAAAAATGACATTTCTGCTCTAAATATATTAATATTTCAATTAACACCTCAATAAATGGCAAAACTGAGGCTTTCAGCAATAGTATCTATAAGTAACTTGGGTTAGTTAAAAGTGGAAATTGTATTAAAAAGAAAACAGTTTTGGGGTGGGGAGAAAAAAAGTGGATGTAATGTCTATAATCATGACAGTATGTTCTATTTTCACTAAGAACAAACCAAGGGAAATAGCTTATTTAGAGCAGCAGGGATTTTGGTTAAACAGACAATAATGATAAAGATTGTCAAACCCTGGGATAAGGGATTACCAGAGGCTCTGCAACATCCTTTCCTGGAGATAAACTATCTGTCCTAACTTTTTTTTTTAAAAAAACAAAAACCCTGTTAGAGGCCAAAGGGAAAAATTAGGTTATACTTTATACCAGTGAAGCAATTCTAGCCTTAAGATTCATAAATTTCACTAGAAAATTAAAATCAATTAAGACTGAGGGAAAACTATAATTGTAAAATTAGAGTGGACAATGGATTGAACTGTGTGCCCCCATAATATGTGTTGTAAATCCTAACCTCTATGCCTATGGTTAAAAATCCCATTTGGGAATAGATTGTTATGTTAATGGACAGGTTTAGTGTAGGGTGTGTTCTAAATCAATCTCTTTGGAGATATAAAAGAGATAAAACAAGCAAGGGAAAGTAGCAGAGATATGGGAAGACAGATGCCAAACCAAATGAAGATCACCCAGGAGCAGAAGCTCGGAGACAAGCACCTTCTTCTGAGCTGCAAGAGAGAAAAAGCCTTCCCCTGGAGCCAGAGGCCTGAATTCAGACTTCTAGCCTCCTAAATTGTGAGAAAATAAATGTTTGTCAAAGCCACCCATTAGTGATATTTGTTACAGCAGCACTAGATAACTAAGAATTCAAAACCAATACTCTCTTGAGGATTTGCATCACTGGTGGGAATAATGAAAGTAAACATCCAAAGAAAACTTCCTGATTTACACAATTTACTATCATGCAAATAGCTTAGACAAAAATAAACGCTACTGTAAGACATGGACACAATGTGTGCTTTTTTTGGTCCCCCTAGTACCTAGCGCCATACTGAACCACAAAAAAATATTTAAATCTTTCTTTAACAAATACCATAAAACATCTACAAACCAAGAACATATTACCCTCCAGCCAGTGGTATCACTAAGGGGGTGCAGACCACACCAGGTGACACTGTCAGAGGAGGTGACGCCAAAATGACTGTCTATAAAATTTTTGTGCAGTGTTTCAGCAAAAATTATTTTTTTATAAAAATATCCCTGTAGTTAGTTATAACAACAAAACATTTTTCATAAACCCTGCTTACATGTATCAATATACCTAACAAGGTTAAAACTCTATGCTAATTTACTTTCTGAACCTTCTAATGTCCTCTGGTCAAAGACGTCATTATTACCAAGGGACGACTTTGTATTTCCTTTTTTAAGAAGGCTGCCAGGAAGCTCAGAGCTGAATTAACTGATCACGAAAAACAGTAATGCAGTAAACATCCTTGTAGCTTATGGCTGTGTTTTTAACTCTGTGGGATATATTCCCTAACTGAGACTGCTAAACTGAAGGATCTGTCTGTTTTTACTGGCTGAATCTGAAACCTGGCTTCACCATTTTAATAGCTATGTCACCTTAGAAAAGTACTTGGTACTTAACTATTTTAAACCATTCTTTTCCTATTCAACTGGGATTTGTTAACTATTAGAATCCCATATATCTTGAGGTCTACTTCTGATCTCTCTTTTAATGATCAGTTTGTTTATTTCTATGTACTACTTGACAGCAATGGGTTTGGTTTTTCCATGCTATTTTGGTAACAGTGGCTTTACAGGAAGTTTTAATATCTCGTATGGCAAATTCTTCTTGTTCTCTCCCCAGTGCCTAGGCACGTAATAGATGCTTTTTGCATACTTAAGTTAATAACACCACTAAATAAATATTAAATCTTGTTTTAGGTAAATTTGGGACACCCATTTATTTACCTTTGGGAAACTGAAGCCTGGCATGCTAGATGGTGTCCCCCCTCCCCCGCCCCGCCCCCCCAGGCAAGCACGGTATTGCAGTGTAAGTTTTTCAAGTGTAATAAATAGTGACCCAGAGAAGGAAATGAGGAGATCCGATGATCAGTGTGAATTCTGAAGGCAGAAGGGTATACCTCAGGCATAAGCAAAATACTTTAGGCCCTCGGGAAGGGACAGTTTGATAGTAAATCCCAAGGCTAAAAAATGCTGAAAAGCATCCCGCAGTACTCTAATATGTAAACTTTATCAACCTCTTTCTCCCATCTTTTATTCTGAAAAATTTCAGACCTACAAACAAGTATAATGAACATGTATATACCCTTCACCCAGATGTACTGATTAACATTTTACCATAATTGCTTTTCTCTCCCTTTCTCCATATATATGTTCTATTTTATCTTCAGCTAAATTTCTAGATGTGGAATTGCTCAATCAAAGGTATATATGATCCCATTTTAATATATATCACTAAATGGCTTCCCAGAAAGACTGTGTTAACTGATAGCCCCACCAATGGAGTATGAGAAGGCCCTTCAGCCATGCCACTTTCACATATGAATCTTTTTAAATTGTTCCACCAATCTCCAAGGTAAAAAAAAAAAAATTATCCCAATGTCATTTGTTTTATTTATTCAACAAATACCTGAACCTTCTACTGTGTGCTAAGAAGCTAGAGATAAAATGGAGAATACCATACAGATGGTCCTTGACCTTACAGAGCTCATAGTTAACTGCATTCTACTGAATATCCTTGCTAACTAGACTTCTTTTTCATGTGTTACTTGGCCATATTCTTTTCTGTCCTGACTTCCCACATCTTTTGTCTATTTTTATTAAAGTAATATTCTTTTCATTATGTAACAATTATGTTTTCCTAATTTGTCACTAATCTTAACTGAGTAATAAAAGGTTAGGATTAACTCTTTTATTAAACCGATACCCTAACGCTACTAACCACATCTTCAAGTCTTCTGCTTCCTCCTACATGCTCGCTCCCAAACTCCACTACCAGGCCATGTGTGAACTCTCTTCAGTTCCTGCACAGTCAGATACAAACCTCACTGCAGTTGTCCACATCTGTCATACTCTTCAAGTCTCTTGATTTGTACTATCTGCTTTCTTTCCTTTCCCCTTGATCTACATCTGCTCACATTTTTGAAGTTTTCCATTCTTTGTTTCTGTAACTATAGTCTAAATAAATAATTTATAATTTTTATACTACAGACACTGTGCTATATCTTTATTTTCCAGTTATCTAGTATCCAAAGAGGACAAAAATTGATCCTACTGTGGACAACATGGGATTGGATACTAAAGGGAGTGGCTGGTATTGCTAAGTAGCCTCTACCACCCACTGCAGTTCTTATAAGTCTCATCCAGCCACTACTAGAAGCTAACTGAAAATGCATTTATAGAGGAAATGGACGAACTAGGAAAAGGCCACTTCTCCATCATTTATATTTCTCTCAAAATTCTTAGGACTGCCTGGGGAAAAAAGGAAGAAAATCAGAGAAGGGTTAAGAATGGCAATGTTGGAAGCGCAGCAGGAACAACCCAGAGCGTATGGTACATGCTTGCTAACTATCTGTTGGATGAATATTTTGAGGAAGAAGAGAGAGATCCTCACTTATTTCTCCATAATCAATACAAGAGAGAGGCTAAGGTACTATTTGTCAAGTTGAGCTTTTATTTCCTATCATACAGTTCCTCAAATTGTAGGTAATTCAGGTTGGTTTAGTTATAAACAAGGATTATTTGATGATTTGGATTACGCAGATGTAGAGAGATATTCTTGGCAATAAAAGTCCTTGAACATTAAATGACAAGTGGCCAAAAAAACCAACAGCAGCAATTACCTCTTCATTAACTTAAGTACCTTAACAAAGTAATATAAGATCTAAACTTCAACTATAAACAGCTAAGACACTGGAATTTAGTAGATGGGACAATTCAAAACATCCAATTTTTAGTTCTGGTCATCTAACATACTAGTTATATGACTTAGGTAAGTTAAGCCTCTAAGCCTCACTTTTATCATTTATAAAATGTCCATATTACGTTTAATCTGATGAGTATAAGGCAAGAGAAGAACCTGAATGCAGAATACTATAAGAATAAAGAGTAAAAAAAACAGAAGGGATCTTTTTGGGGTGATGGAAATGTTCTACAGTAAGACTGTGGTAGTAGCTCTACAGCTCTGTAAACCATCATTGAATTGTACACCTAAAAGTGGGTGAATTGTATAGAACGTAAATTATACCTCAATAAAGCTTTTTTTTTTTTTAAAGATACCATTGGCTTGAGAAGCATCCTAGATGACTACCGTTAAGTCAACTTTTCCTCTATCCTGAGACCTTACTGATGGGATTCAGGCAAGTGTACCCCCTTAAACACTTCAGGCTCCCAATCTTTTGTTCAAACTGCCCATAGGTACAACAGCAGTCTTGTGTCATTAAAATGGTGTTATTCAGGAGAGGAAGAATATGAACAGAGCAAACATTACAGTCGCCAAGGATTTCACACATTGAACTTGAACAACACTATTAACCAACTAGACTAACAAGACATCTATAGAACACTCCACCCAACAACAGCAGAATACACATACTTCTCAAGTTGCACATGGAACATTCTCCAGGATATATCATATTTTAGCTCATAAAAGAAGTCTCAATTTTTAAAGGATTGAAATCACACAAAGTATGTTTTCTGAATACAATAGATGAAATTAGAAATCAAGAACAGAAGTAAAATTAGGAAATCACAAATATGTGAAAACTAAACAACACACTCCTAAAAGTAGTAATGGGTCAAAAAAGAAACCACAAGGCAAATTAGGAAATACTTTGAGATGAATGAACACAAAAACAACATACCAAAATTTATGAGATACAGCTAAAGCAGTGCTTAAAGGGAAATTTAAAACATGGATATTAAAAAAGAAAGACTTTAAATTAATAACTTATTCTTCCACATTAAAAAATTAGAAAAAGAAGAACAACTAAATCCAAGAATCAGAGTGGAAATAAAATAGAGAATAGAAAAATGATAAATAAAATCAACAAAACCAAAAGTTGATTCTTCTCTGGGGGAGGAAAAAAAACAAAAAACTACAAACCTTTAGCTAAACTAACCAAGTGGAAAAAAAGTCTAATTACTAAAATCAAGAATGACATGGAGACATTCCTACCAATCTTACAGAAATAAAAAGAACTATAAGGGAATGCTATAAAAACAATCTTACAGAAATAAAAAGAACTATAAGCGAATGCTATTAAAAACTGTGGACCAACAAATTCGATAACCTATATAAAATGGACAAAATTCCTAGAAAGAAAAGAATTGAAAGCAAGGACTGAAACAGATCGTTGTTCATCAATGTTCACTGCAGCATTATTTACAATAGCCAAAAGGTGGAAACAACCCATATGTCCATTAACAGATGAATAGATAAATAAGGACATCATGCTAGGTAAAGTAGAGGGTCAGCAAAAGAGAAAAAGACCCTCAGTGAGATAGACTGACACAGTGGCTGCAGCAGTGGGCTCAAACATAGCAACAATTGTGACAATTGCTCAGGACTGAGCAGTGTTTCGTTCTGTTGTACACAGGCTCGTTATGAGTTGGAACTGACTCGACGGCACTTAACAACAAGAAGAACATATGAATGTAATGGAATATTATTTAGCAATAAAGAGAACTTAAGTCCTGATACATGCTATGACATGGATGAACCTTGAAAACATTATGCTGAATGAAATAAGCCAGACACAAAAGGACAAATATTGTATGATCCCACTTATATGAAATATTCAGAAAAGGCAAATGCATAGAGACCAAAGTTTATTAGAGGTTACCAAGGGTGGAAAAGAGAGAATAGCAAGGTATTAACTAAGCAGTACTGAGTTTCTGTTAAGGATGATAAAAAAAATTTGGAAACAAACAGTGGTTACAGCTGCACAACATGGTGAACATAACTAATGTGACTAAATTACACATGCAAAAACAGCTGAAATGGCAAATGTTTTGTTACATATGTTTCACTACAATAAAATTTATTTTCTTTAAATTCCCACAAAGACATAAACTATCAAAACTGACTCAAGAAGAAATAGAAAATCTTAATAGACCTATAACAAGCAAAGAGACTGAATAATTTAAAAAAAAAAAAAAAAACTTCTAACAAAAAAAAGCAAGAAGGTTTCACTGGTGAAATCTACCAAAAGTTTAAAGAAGAATTAACACCATACTTCACAAACTCTTCCAAAAAATAGAAGAAGAGGGAACATATCATCACTCATCCTGAGACCAGCATAACCATGATACCAAAACTGGACAAAGATATTACAAGAAAACTACAGATCAATTTTTGTTGTTAGTTAGTTGCCGTCAAAGTCAATTCTGACTCATGGCAGCCCGACACGTGCAGAGGACTCCACACATATAAATTCCATTTATACTGTGACTATAAATGCAAAAATCCTCAATAAAATACTAGCAAACTGAATCCAGAAATATATAAAAAAGATTATACACCTGAGGAACTGAGATTTATTCCAGGAATTCAAGGTTGGTTTAACATCTCAAAATCAATAAATACACCATATCAACAGAATAAAGGACAAAAACCACATGATCATCTCAATAGATGCAAAAAAAAGCATTTCACAAAATTCAACACATATCTGTCATAAAAACATTCAACTAGGAATAGAAGGGAACTTTCTCAACTTGAAAAAGGGCATCTATGAAAAAACCAGAGCTAATACCATATTTAATGGTGAAAGACTAAGTGCTTTCCCCCTAATATCCCCCTAATTGCCACTTCTATTCAACACTGTACCGGAAGTTCTCATCAGGGCAATTACAGAAGAAAAAGAAATAAGAGGCATCCATACCAGAAAGGAAGAAGTCAGACTATATAATCTTTTACTTAGAAAATTCTAAAGAATCTACTAAAAAACTATTAAAATAAACAAGTTCAGCAAGATTACAGGATACAAACTCAATACACAA